CAGCTTTGTTCTTCCAATGCACAGCATATGGGAGACACAAATCAGTCCTAAGCTCTTGTACTTGAGAATGTGAAAGAGCATCTTTGCTAGTAGTATGTTTCATCTTAAGATGAAACCATCCGCTATTCAGAGTTGGTCCTAGACCCTCTGAGTATCCTTATAAGAAACAGAAATGGAGAAGACATATTTGCAGAAGACAGGGTCATGTAAAAATGGAGGAAGATGTTCAGGTGGCATATGCACAAACCCAAGAACACTAAGAATTGTCAATGGCTCCCTGAAGTTAGAAGAGATGCGAGGCAGACTTCCCTTGGAACCTCTGAAGAACTGCTGACAATTTGATTTCAGATTTTTGGCTTTCAGGACTTTTAGAGGATACATTTGTTGTTTTAACCCACCCTGTTTGTGGTGATTTACTCCATCAGTCTTAACAAATGACTGTCTTGAAGCATTTACATGCTAGGTTCTCACTTTCCCACTAGGGAAGAACATGTGTGACTATGCCTCTCCACTTCACAGAAACTTGAGGCTCAGATAAGGAAACACCTGCCTAGACTAGCCCTGAAAACTGACTATAACAACTTCCCTGTCTGTTTCTTCCTCTCCACACAGTGCTTTTATTCTACCCAGGTCCATAACTGTCCCAAGAATGTAATAAGATAATGTGAAGAAGACAATGTTTGAGGGACACAAACCATTATCACACAGGGGAAAGAGAACAGAGGAGACTGAGGGAGAGCTGAAGTGTGGGTACTCTCCAGCTGTTCTCTTTTCAGGCCCCAGACAACTGGAAGGACATCTACAAATAACTGTGATCCTGGACAAGTATGGTTCTCAAATAAGGGGACTGAGGGGGTCTCTGGGCGCACAGACTGAGAATCTGATAAAGTGCTATGATGAAAACTGTACCTGAGCACAGCAGTACAAGCCTGTATCCCCAGCACTTGGGAGGCTATGGCAGGAACATCATGTGTTCCAGGTTAGCCTGGTCTACAAAACAATACTTTACCTCAAAAACAAAAACAAAAAAAACCCCAAACTTTTCATTCAATGTCACCAGGGCTTTTGGAGGAATGAAGGAACAAAGGAGGCCCCAAATCTCATTTCAGTAGTAAAAAGATGAAGTACTATAAACCCAAAAAACTTATTTCCAGCCAAACTATAAAATGTGCAGAGATCTGCCGGGTGGCGGCGGCGGCGGCGGCGGCGGCGGCGGCGGCGGCGGCGGCGGCGGCGGCGGCGCACGCCTTTAATCCCAGCACTCGGGAGGCAGAGCCAGGTGAATCTCTGTGAGTTCAAGGCCAGCCTGGTCTACAGAGCGAGATCCAGGACACGCACCAAAACTACACAGAGAAACCCTGTCTCGAAAAAAAATGTGCAGAGATCTATGGAAAGGTTAAAAAAACCAAATATTGCAAACACTAACAATCCCTAGATGCTGGCAGTAAGTCTGCAGGTGCTCAGTGCACTGCTGAGTACCTAGCAAAACTATTCTTTAAATTACCAGTAAACGTTCCTGGCCTCACAGTCACTGTCTCTGAATCACTCAACTTGTACTCACAGGACAATGGCAGCCACAGGAAAGAGACATTACGTAAACAAACTGGCATGGCTTACATTCCAGCAAAACTTCACCTGCAAAAGCTGGCAGTGGCTGGATATGGTCCAAAGCCTGTATTTTTACTGACCTGTGAACTAGTTTTGATTACAACATTCTTGCCTCAATTTTTAAAAATGAAATTCTACAGGAATGGCTGTCATAGCAGCCTGCTTCCTTTCCCCTTTGTGTTTAAGGTAGACAGATGTTTGTGCTCCTCTTCCAGACGGACTATGGGAAACGCATGGACCAGGGCCACAACTGGTGAGCAGCAGCCCTAAGAGCAACGGATGGTATCAAGGAGCAACCGCAATCACATTCATAATCTTAATGTTAGTATAAGAGCACAGAACATCTATAGATTGCTTCCTGTATGCTCAGCCAGTTTATTAACAAAGTCGGCATTGTGCTTTGAGGTCTTGTTCTGGAAACACCATTTTAAAAGGCAAGGATGATGATGCAAAGAAGCAGGCACTTTATGGAAAGCAATGAATCCCCAACCAGAAGAACCTAAGCATTCTGACTATCCATCCTGTCACTGCAGAAATAAGAGTTGGGATCCTGAGTATCAAGCTTCCTCCCCAGTTGCGGGCAGCTGTTCCTCCACTCTAATTTTGATTGTTAACAATGTCCATTGTTTTCTTTAGGAAGATGGCACTGTGAATGCTAGAGAAAAGAGGCAGAAAGCTGTGTAACCATGTGGCCTGAATTCAAAGCTATGCTGTTATCAATCAGCAAGATCTTAGGTCATCTTCATCCAGTGAGACTTATGACAGACTTCTGATCTCCAGAACCATAAATAAAACTATATGTTGTTTTATACTGTTAAGTTTATGGAATGTGTTACAAAAGCCTAACAAAACTGACACACTGATCTAAGCTAATCAAGTTCCTTATTGTCTCTGCATGCACATTTCATCCAACAGCTTCCCTCAATCTGAGCACTAATGTCTTAAATACTTCCCCACCCCCAACCGGAACCATGTATAACAGCATTCCTGACTTCTCACTAAAAGCAGCAACAATCTCCCAGTTATGACAAATGACAACCAAAACATCCCTAGACAATGCTCAACATCCCTGGTGGCAAAAATCGCTTCAAGATGGAAACTGCAGTCACTGCATAGATATAGTCCCTCTTTCTATAAGCCTTTCTCCCAATTTCTCAAACATTGCATCCTGGAATCTCTTGACTGGCCCAATTCCTCACCCAACTGTTTAGTTGTTACGCACTCTGCCCAGAATCTCACAGCTCTCCCCTTTGCAGGTATTGGCTCCAATTTCAACTTTTCAACAAGACTTCCCCCATACTTACTCTAATACTGTACCCTACATTCTTTATTTTTCTCCCTACTATTTTTCATGGTCAACCCAATATGTACTTTTCTGTCACCCCTCACTACAAGGTAAATTCTCCCAAGGCCAGTTTTTGTCCTTTTTCTCCCAGCTGTAACCAAGCATCTAGAGCACTGCTCAGAACACAGGCCCATGCCGGGCGGTGGTGGCGCACGCCTTTAATCCCAGCACTCGGGAGGCAGAGCCAGGCGGATCTCTGTGAGTTCGAGGCCAGCCTGGTCTCCAAAGCGAGTTCCAGGAAAGGCGCAAAGCTACACAGAGAAACCCTGTCTCGAAAAACCAAAAAAAAAAAAAAAAAAAAAAGAAAAAAAAAAAGAACACAGGCCCAACAAACAATTGCTGATTCATTATCTCAACACTGACAGGTCTCATCACTTCTTACAGGTGGTAGTCTATTTTCTTCTGTTTACCTGCTTCACACCTAGCTCCTGAACAGCAACTAGCCTGTTTCTTTGTTGATAAGAGTGTCACTATGTAGACTAGGCTAGTCTTGAACCTGCCTCTGCCTCCTGAATGCTGAGATTACACACGCACCACCATACCTGGCTCTGGTCTCCGTTATATTCCCAACAACATTCCTAATAACACTGCATGTGTTTACTAAACACATAAATTCAGAGTATCCCTTAAACCAGGCTGTTATTCCCATTTAAGAAGAGAAACACTGATTGCCGGTGTCAAACAGCAAGAAGTGCAAGGCCCAGGAATACAAACTCCTGCCTGTCAGGCATCGGAACCAGAATCATATACATTAAGACTTAGAGGCTGGGCCCAGCCTCAGGTTACTCAGTGCACCACAAACAATTCCATACAGTAGGAGAAACAGAGGCTCCATAGAGCATGGTAGCACAATAGCCACTCCCCCAAATAACAGCTAACATTTATGGGGCCTTTAAAAGCAGCCAGTTCTATTTTACTACATTTCCTCAGCCACCGGGGTAAGCCAGCACTATTATTAGCCAGTATTTTGTGGAAAACGGAAGCCAGGGGCGATGAAATAATGTGCACACAAAGTCATCCTCAGGAGAGAGGATACGGCCTTGGGGTCTGATCTTTTTTTCAAAACCACAGCCGACCGACTCAAAAGGCCCTGGATCACTCTTCTCCCACGAACCAGTTAACTCGCTTGGCAGTCCGGCCTGGGACGAGGTTGGGGAGCGGTGGGTCTGTACACGTGACCTATCCCTGAATTAGGCTAGCTAAATCTCAGGAGAGAATACTTCCACGTCCTACGTCCTCCTTCAGGAGAGCTACCCCAAAATACGAGGTGCAGGCCTAGAGGAATGGATGGATGCCCTGGTACCAGTCTCCCCTCGGCCCAGGTAAAGAAAACACTAAAAGCAACGGGAAATGTACCCTGGTCCTCGGCACCCATGAGGGCTTCCCCTACTCTGCTGGTCACGCGCCCCCGTCCATCTCCCCCAGGGGGCCATTCTGAGTCCGCCGCCAATCACTCGACTAGCAGGCGGCCGCAGGCTCCCCAGCCCATCTCGGGCCACCCAGGCACAGATCCCGGGCGGCCGCGCGCACTCGGAAGGGACCCTCGAGGCTTGCCCTCCGCCGGGGACAAGACCCAATCAGGGGCGCCATCTCATCGAATCTTGCCACCACGGAAGATGAGACCTCGATTCTGATTGGCCGCCGCTGCCTTCCGCCACTCCCGGAGAACCCGGAGCCATCTCTCCCGCATTCCGCGAACATCCCCGTCCCCGATCTCCCCCACACACTTTAACGGAAGGCTCCCCACACCTGAACGTCTTCATTGCGGAGTTCATCGATGAGCACCGCAATGGGGTAAAGTGAGTCGTCGCCGTCGGCAGCTGCCATCTTGGCTCCCTGGCGTCTGTATCAGGCTGCGGCCAGCGCCGGGCGGAATCCAGGATCGGGCGGGGCGGTGCCGGGGGAAGGACGCAAAGAGGGCGTGGGGGCGCCCGAGCCAGGCTACAGGGGCTGTCCCGCCGCCATTCTCCGCACAAGGTCGCGTCTGTTTGGTCCGAACCAACCAAGTCCCGCCTACTTCCCATTCACCATTGGTCAGACGAACCAGATTGGCTTTCCGCTGGAGGATCGGAAGCGGAAGTGGAGTATCTTAGCGACCAAGGTTGTTCCCGCCCACGTCGCCGCTAGCAACCGCAGGAACGAGCAGGGCTTTGAGCCAATGAGAATCGAGAGTGGGAGGTGGCGAAAGTGGCTATGTCGGGAGGCTCCCAGAAGGCTTAAACCTGGGTGCTGGGAGCGGTGCGTGACGTAATGAAGGACAGGTGGGTCGAGTTGTACCTCCGCGGCGTTACACCGTCCGCTGTGAAGAAGGGAGACTTTCCTTGCTCGCTTCCTACGACCGCGGGCCTGGGGCTGGTGGCCTAGGCCCACCTGCCCTCCTACTCTGGATCAGTCCTAGGAACTAGAGCCCTTATCTGGCTGAGGAGCTTCCAAGGAGCTAGTTAGCAATCAATTGGCGCCCAACCCAATCTCTTCGTGAGACGGGTCCATCCTGTAAAGAATCACAGTCATTTCTCCTTGAGGTTGAAAAATGAACGTATGAAAGGGAGGAAGGTGGAGGTAGCAGGGTTGGTCGAAGCCTTATTCAGGAAAGACTTCTCTTAGCAACGCATGGCTATTTTTATACTTGTTTTCTCTTCTCTCCCTTCCCTCCCTCTCTCTCAGACCAGAGAGACAATTAAAGAAGAAAATACCCTCGCAGAGAGTGAGCATTTATAATCAATGATGTGCATTTGTATCTAAATTGTGGCTCTGGCCCTGAGTGGAGACACAAGAATTGGGACTCTCAGAGGAGACTTATGGTCCTAACAGTGCCTTCTTGAAGTGCTGTCCCTCCTAATTTGAACGATCTCTATAGAAATCTGCCCCTTTCCTGTTCATCTCCTTTCATACATAACAATGATTTCCAGTCTCATCTTGAACTGTGCTGGGTTAGACAATTTAGGAAATACTGGATTCATTAACAATCACAAGATAGGGGTAAGTTGTGTTTGTTACTAGAAGATTATAATTGGTACTGGGCTCTTCAGGGGTTAGTGTGAGTATGCGTTTTTACAAGTTTTGAGTTCTTATTGGCACTTCTAATCAATTTATATAAATTATGAGAATTCAAATAAAAGCTCAGACTTTTCACTTAGCAGTATTTTGATTTTATATTTGTACTCCTTATCTCTTATGCTGAAAATCTGTAATTTTTAGTGATATATCTGAATTTGGGGACATATTTATCATAAATACATAATTTTATGATTGTATTTTAGGATATTATTACATTTAGAAACGTTACTTGTTAAACAGTTATGCCATGGCCAACACATCTGGGCATCACAGGGACCTGGAAAGAAGTATAATGGAAGACAGAGACACAAGACTCAAGGTTCACTTTGAGAGTGAACAATTGTTATTTTTCCCATTGCTGTTTATATGTTGTTTAACTAGCACCTGGAGATTGCAAGCAGAGTTTGAGAAACAGTCTCTTTGGCTGTATTACCCGAATTCTTCTTTTACATTTTCCTGCCCTTGGCTTCTTTTGTCCCAGTGAACTTTCCTCTTAGGCTTTATCTTGTGCCTGCATTTTTTCAGTCAGGAGACCACAACTTGGTCAGGGGTTATGCTTGAGAAAGGAATTACAGACTATCTGAACCTAACACAATTATATACAATATATAATAGAAATGTATGTTATATAATTGAAGGTTCTGTATATTAGGAAATTAGGTAAAAAGCATATGATTAGTAGTTTCAGGTGGTCAGTAGAATTATTAATCAACCTACCAGTTTTAGCCTAACGTGTTGATGTTTTGTTTTGTTTTTGAGACAGGATCTCACAGTGTACTCTTGTTGACCTGGAACTCACTATGTAAATAAGGTTTAACTTGAACTCCTAGAAATATGCCTCCCAAGTGCTAGGACCAAAGGCATGTACTACCACACCCAGCTATGTGTTTATGGTTTTTCTGTCCTTAAGAAAAGTCCCACTTCGCTGGGCGGTGGTGGCGCATGCCTTTAATCCCAGCACTGGGGAAGCAGAGCCAGGTGGATCTCTGAGTTCGAGGTCAGCGTGGTCTGCAGAGTGAGATCCAGGACAGGCACCAAAACTACACGGAGAAACCCTGTCTCGAAAAACCAAAAAAAAAAAACCAAAACAAAACAAAGAAAAGTCCCACTTGAGGGCTAGGGATGTAGCTCAGTGGTAGAATGCTTGCCTAGGATGCACAACGCTCTAGTTTCAACCCTCAGTACAAGAAAGAAAAGGGTAAGGTGGAAAAAAAGAATGTTTAACTTAATATGTACAGGCAAAGATTTATTTTTTAATCTTTATTCTTGTGTACGTGTGTATCTATGTGTATGTATATGTTACATGTGTGCAGGTTCCCATAAGAGGGCGTCACATCCCCTGGAGCTACTCACAGGTAGCTGTGAGTGGCTTGATTTGCTGGAAACTGAACTCTGGTCCTCTGTAAGAGCATCACGTGATCTTAACCACTGAGCAATTGCTCCAGCCCCACTATTTATTCTTTCACTTTGCTTACCACATACAGAGCACTCTCACACATTCAACATTGAAAGCACAGCTATCACGGATCATTCTCCAGACAGTGCAGAGTAGTTCCACATGAAGTCGAGTTTCAGGTATGTGATTTGATGTGATGAGAGGATGGAGGAGAACATTGAAGGTGTCGAGAACATAGGGCTTGAGTTTCCCTGGGGTGGATAGTGGGACTTGTAGACAGTAGGATGTGGAAGAGGGCTCCCCTCTTTTTTCCTGTCCCTCCTACCAGAAGAACTCTCTGCACTGTTTTGTCACTGTGATGCAAACCTGGGACTCTCCTCTGGAATGCAGCCTCTTCTAGCTGTTCCATAAAGCAGTTCGGCAAGGAGGGCTCCTCAAATATGAGAGAACTGGCGGGTCTCTCCAAGGATACTAAGGGCTCATGGCTGAACTCAAGCTGGATCTGTTTCTTTTGTTTGTTTTTATGCCAGTTTCTCTCGAAGACAGGTTTCATGTATCCCAGCCTGGCTCAAACTCACTATAGTCAAGGCTGGACTTGAACTCCTGATCCCCCCTACCTCTACATCTACAGCACTGAGATTACATGTGTGCATCACCGTACCCAATTTATTCAGTACTGGTCAAAAAGCAATCTGGCCTACGTGAGATCCTGTAAGTGGGGTGGGGTAGGAAGAGAATATCCTGCTTGTTCCGCTTGAGCTCTCCAGGAGTAACTTGTTTTCTTCTGTGGCACCCCATATCCACAGTGCCTGAGGATATAATTTTCTTTCTTTTTTATTTTATTTTTTTTTAGGTTTATTCCTAGACACTTAATTTCTTTTTAATTTTACTTAACATTTTTTTTCATTTATTTTTACATACCGACTACAGGTTCCCCTCCCTCCTCTCCTCTCATTCCCTCCCCCTACTTCTATCTACCCCCTCCCCATCCACTCCTCCTCCTCATCTCCATTCTGAAAGAGGCAGGCCTCCCTTGGGCTTGAACAAAGCATGGCACATCAAGATGCGGTAGGACCCACTTCATCCCCCTGCATCAAGCCTGAGCAAAGTAATCCAGCATGGGGAACAGGTTCCCAAAAGCTAGCTAAGCCCCAGGGATGGGTCCTGATATTACTGCTCGGAGCCCCACAAACAGACCAAGCTACACAATTGTCACACACATGCAGAGGGCCTTTGCAGGTTGTAGCTGGAGTTTTCCTGCCTGGCCCACAGTCAGTACAAATCTCTCTCACCTGCCAGTCCCACAACCGCTCAGACCCGACCAAGTAAACACAGAGACTTATACTGGTTACAAACTGTATGGCCGTGGCAGGCTTCTTGCTAACTGTCCTTACAGCTTAAATTAATCCATTTCCATTAATCTATACCTTGCCACATGGCTCATGGCTTACCGGCATCTTCATATGCTGTTTCTCATCGTGGCGGCTGGCAGTGTCTCTCTGACTCAGCCTTCCACTTCCCAGCTTTATTCTCCTCCTTGTCCCGCCTACACTTCCTGCCTAGCCAATGGCCAATCAGTGTTTTATTTATTGACTAATCAGCAACACATTTGCCATACAGAACATCCCACAGCAGCAGGTCCCATGCAGGCTCCCTAACTTTTGGTCCAGAGTCCATGAGCTCCCTCAAGTCAACTGTCTCTGTGAGTTTCCCCATCGTGACCTTGACCACCCCCCCACCTCCCACCCCCAGCTCATACAATCCCTCCTCCCTTTCTTCAGCAGGACTCCTGAGGCTCAGCCCAGTGCTTGACTGTGAATCTCTGCATCTCCTTCCATCAGTTACTGGATAAAGGCTCCCTGATGACAATTAGGGTAGTCACCAGTCCAATTACTGTAGATGGCCATTTCAGATAGATACCCTCTCCAGCATTGCTAGGAGTCTTAGCTGGGGTCATCCTTGTGGATTCCTGGGATTTTCCCTGACCCCATTCTCCCTAATCCCCAAATGCCCCCTCCCATCAAGATGTCTCTTTTGTTACTCTCCCCCTCCATTCCACCCCCAACCCGCCTCCTGCACCCAGCCCATCCAACTTGATCCCTCAAATTCCCTTCCCTCCATCCCCACCCTCACCCCCAGTTTACCCAGGAGATCTCTATTTTGCCTTCTTAGTGAAATCCATGCATCTCTCTTTGGGCCCTCTTTGTTGTCTGGCCTCTCTGGGGATGTGAACTGTAGGTTGGTTATCCTGTACTTTCCTCCTAATAGGAGGATGTCATTTTCTACAACTGTCCTCAAAATGCCTCTGCCAGTCCCTGGGACTCAGATTACATACTACTCAACCTTCATCAGAGAAGTTTCTTGCAGTAAGTGGCAATTAACACAGAAACCCATAACTGGACCACATGCTGAGAGTGAGAGACTTTGGAGCACTCAGTTCTAATGGATGTCTTTATCAAACTCCTCCCATCAAGGCTCAGGGATCTATGTGGAAAAGGAACCAGATAAGGCAGAAAGATTGTAAGAGCCACAGGTGGTGGTTAACTCTAAGGAAACAGTGTCTTCCAGACACAACAGGGCTGATGCACATATGAACTCACAGAGACTGTGACAGTATGCACAAGACCTACACAGGTTCAAGCCATGCAAAGGCACAGTACTGAGAAGGGGAAGTGACACAAAGTCCCACCCCCTAGCTAAAGAGCTATTTGCATCTGCTACCTGCTGGGAAGGGGAAAATCAGTTTTCTCTGATGGAGTATTACTGAGTTTATCAACTACACTATACTCCAAGGTAGGACTCATGCCC